AAACTCCTACTAAAGGAAAGTGTGGCTATAAGTGTTGAGATTGAAGAGTATGCACACGTCGAGGTTTCCCTCCCCCCTACTGTTGGAATGGCATACGAGAGTGGGCTAAAAATAGACACCTACTTTAGGAATTATGGAAAACAAGAAGGTTTTGGTGTTGTCCGTTCTAATGGAGCGACTATAGGAAAATGTTCAAATGCAAATGACAAGCGTGATATTACTTGGACTTGTGAATGTTTTGGCTTGCCCAGTAGGAAGAGGAAGAAGTCTAGTTCCATATTTGTTTCATATTCACACATAAGTGATAAAGTTTGTGTGAAACGCAAGAGCAAAAAAGTTGAATGTCCCGTGAAGTTGTACGCTAAGGTGAACGAGGTAGATGAATGGGTGATCAATAAGGCAATGCTAGAGCATGATGGTCACAACCCCACACCAGGGAATTCAAAAAATATCACTAAGTTCAGGAAGAAGTTCTTAATAGAGAACCCTCACATTGTTCCACAACTTTTCAATGATCGCATGGCGGGTGTACTTGTGACTACCATATACAATTGTATGGCCCGGCAGCGGAATGGGCGGGAAGAGATGTAATTTTCCTTAAAGAATTTGCACGATGAAGTTGCCAAGCAAAAGAAAGTGATATATATTTGAAGAAGGTCAGGTGATGATAAAGTCATGTTTACATACTTTAAGAAGATGGTTGATGATAACTCAAACTTTTTTCATACCCATCGTGTAGATGAGTTGAGTAGGTTGCAAGATGTTTTATGGGTTGATGTGTCGAGTTGTGCAGCGTATGAAGAGTTCGAAGATGTTTGCTTTGATTCAACGTACTTGAAAAATGCATACAAGCTTCTTTTTTTGCAATTTTGTAGGTGTTAATCATCATGTTCAAACTATGTTGTTTGGGTGTGCATTAGTTTTCCGTGAGACCACCGAAATATTTGAATAGGTGTTTTCGAATTGGTTGATGTATAAGAGAGAAACAACCAATTAAAATCCTAACGGATTAAGATCCGATGATCACCACATGCCTATACGTAGCAAACATTTGATCAATGGCGAATCTAGAATTTTTTATAAGTGGGTTCAAATAACATAAATAAATTAGATAGAAATTATTCATAAATTAACAAATTACATAAAACTATATATATATATCAACTTACGTTATCACCAAAAATCAATACCATGGTCTATTTTTTTCCCTGCATATCTGTTCAACTCCATCTATCACTCCTTCCTTCCAGTCTCTCATTTTTTTGGGGCGGGGAATTAGATCAAGCTTATCATATATCAGAGCCTACACACTCAAAAAAATAAAATAAAAAAATGAATGCACACCAAACCAAATGAAAAAAAAAATCAAAAATGAGATAAGGTAACAGAAAGTACCACAACAACTGGTGAACAACAAGTGATATAAGTTTGACCTTAAGAAACAACATTTTTTGCACATTCATGTATCTTGTCTAGCATCACTTGCGCCCAACAAATCTTTTCGAAATTATTAAGATCATTTACAATGAGAAAGTTTTTTTGAGCTCTGTACTCATCGGACGGGGCAGCAATAAAGAAGCTTACCAAATAAAAAGACAACATTTTCTAAAATTGTCATGTGCCTCTTAGTTTCTACTGACATATTGGTAAGAATTTTAAACACGGTTGCTCTATTTTCAACTCGTTTGGACTTGGTTTTCTCACCTTGTTTGTATTTTGTGTTTGTGGTTTTGGTCTTCTCTTTTTTCCTTTTCTCTTGCTCATCGTGGGGGACATATTCATTACACAGAACATAGTACCAGGATGGAGTCTGTAGATAAATTTTTGGCTCATCGAGGGGGTCCCCACTATCACTCAAGCCATATCGAACAGTTTCTAACGACCGATATGATATAATTAGCTAATTAAAAAAATTACTAAGTTCCCAACTACAAACTCAAGAGAGGAAGATAAGAGAAGAGATAAAGATAGAGATAGAGAGATGAGAGAGAAAGGAGATAGAGAGAAGAAAGAGATGGAGAGATGAGAGTGAGAGTGAGAAGAATAAGGAGCAAAAATTATAATCCCTCCGTTTTTAAATACTTATTTTATTTCTCCTTTTTGCACTGTTCATTTTTCCTACTTTGACTAATGTTTGTGATTTATACATAAGAAAAAATATAATCTTGTGGGTACATGTTGGAATCGTCTGATCAATAAATAAATTATTAATTTTCAATTGTTAGAATTTATACTTATTGATGATTAAAGATATTATTGATCAAAGAATATCGATCATCAGCATATATGCCCAGGAGAAATGGAGCAAGTATTTCAAAACAAAGGAGTAACACCAACTACAAAAGAGTACAAAATTACAATATGAAAGACTAAGGCGTACAAATACAATGAAAAAATACCCAAAAAAGGACAAACGGGCCTGATAAAAAGCAGAACGGGGTATGAGGTGGATTTCCACCCAAAATTTTCAAAAAGCCAACGAAATTCCTCCATTGCCCCTTGCTATGCAATTCTAATTGCACTAAAATCCTCCCTTTGAACGCGCTCGCTAACATTAGTGGCCTATTTATATTTAAAGAGTGTACTTATTGACAAAATAACACTTTTTGATGAGTTGTCATCAATTTTCTTTTATTTTTAGGTACTTTTGAAATCATTTCCCAACACATCATCTCTCCCTTTCTTTAATAATTACCAACTACCTTTTCTTTCTCTCTATCTCTCTCTAATCATGTTAAGAAATCTACAACTTTCTTAATTCCCGTAAAAATACCAAATAGGCCACTAAATAAGGGACGGAGGGAATACTACGTAATTTTTATCTAGTGGCAATATTATAAATAAGTGCATATGATCTTTATTGTTCAACATTGGATTTTTTGGGGAATAAATGATAATTATTGTATATTTAAAAGTAAAGTGGTCATATATCTAGATGTAAGGTAGTTATTTATGATCAAGGAAACTACCCACTGTCCCACTAGTTCAGGAAACCACCATAACAATACCACGTTAATATTGTTGAAATGAATTATATGCTTTACCCACAAGTCAAATATTCTATATTGTTCTAAGATATTAAGGAGATGTTTCTACTGTTACCGATTATACTTTGACAACCTTGTGAACGTATCAACAACAAATAAGTTAAACCACACTACTTGAAGAGGTTTACGAGTAACAAGAAAGGAATTAACCAACTATGAACATACCAATGTCTTCCATTAAATAAGTGATAGAGACAAATAAGTTAAATCACATATGCACTACTTGAAGAAGTTTAACAAGAAAGTAATCAACCAAATAAAGGAACAGATGAACACAAATTAAAATACCAATAATGTCTTCCATTAAATAAGCGATAGAGTCAAGGCTAGAATTGTATTACGAGAGGAGAAAGTTACCTCCATGTTCATACAATTGGAAAATCGAGCAGATTCAGAACATTCTAACTAAAACTACTTATCGCTTGGCTACTAAGCTAAGGGAGAAACTAAGAAAGTGCTAAAGCAAACTTAAATATAATAAATGCTTTTGTTGGATGATTTGATAATGTCTTTTGCCTTGTGAATCCCTGCTATTTATAGACAAATCCCTTGGAAACATTACACTACCCTCCAATAATGTCCCTAGACTATTCAGTGGTTTCTTCTTCTTGTGCACCAATTACTTCTTTTGTAATATTAAGTGCTTTTGACCATGTTCCTTGAAAGAGTTTGGGCTTTAATATTGGGTCTTTCCTATTGGACCCATGAGTTTGTATCGTTGGGTGTATTATTGATCATTGATTTCAAGTCAAACTGCCTTTATTAAGTCAAACTCTAGACCAATTTCCTTTAAGTTTGTCAAGGTCAACGAAGATTGTAATTTGGGTGTAACAAATATATGAGTTTTTTAATGGCAAAACTCTCTATATGTATGCATCACTCAAATGATTATTGGCTCGAAATGCTCTTAATACATACGAATTGGTGATTAAGTAGAATAGATTAAGAACATCCTAACTCTCACTACTGTGAATTTCACTCCTCCATCACCTTTTCTACACTCCTTTTCCCCTTATTCTTCCTTTTTACATACCATTGAGGTTTGATGTCATCTAATTCCTAGATTTCCTACACTAGGAGATTACCTACTATGATAATCAAGATTTTCAACATAGAATTATCAGATATGTGACTTTGTCAAATATTTTAACACCCCTAAACAAGGATGAGAGTGAGAAAGTGGTGAGTAAAATATGTAGAAGAGTGGAAATGGAGAAGGGGAATGAAGATATCAGGTTATCTTCATTGTTACTTAACCCTTCCACAGCTATTTTGTCATAGTTGTCACCACTAAGAACTTGTCCTTTTGAGCTTATGGACAGAAGGGATACTAGAATTTTTTACTCTTTTTATAACATTAGAAAATGTGTTAAATAATATAAAATATTAATTATTATCATTAAATATTAGTTATTATTATCAATTAATATTATATATTAATTCTTATTATAAAATATTAATTATTATTATTATTATTATTATAAAATATTAATTAATATTATCTATAAATATTAGTTATTATTAATAAATATCAATAACTATTATTTTTATTAAATATTAATTATTGTTATTATTATTTTTTAACCAGAGCAGTGCAGAGCTGAATAGGCAGAGCAGAGCAGCTCAAAAGAACAGGGCCTAAGTTGTATTACCTCCACTTTTACATTGTATGGTAGTTTGGGCGGGAAGATATGAATGAGATTGAGAATGAGAAGGGGAAGTCAAGAGCTTGAAGAGAGAAAAAATTGTTGGGGAACATGTAATTGCATATAAAGTACATCTGTATTCTAGTTGACTCACCAAACTTGTGACTCCGACCCACCCAATGCTTTTCTATTTCAAAAACCTAAGTAATTTACATGCAAAGCATATACACGTAGCCAATATTAACGAACACGATAAAATTTCTTTTTTGACATCTTTTTCTAGGAGTCTTCTAAACCAAAAACCAACTTCGTAAAAATTCTTTTATGAGCAATAAATATTGCATTAGACATTTTGTTACAGAGTTTGCTTGTCTAACAAAAACTGTTATCAACAAGCTTATTTACAATGAAACACTTTTGCTTCTTATGACCACTATAGGAGATTTATTATAAGAGTGATAAAGCACATCAACAATTCCACTACTAACATGTATACACTCAAAATCTCTTTCTTTTTACTATTTTCTAAGTTGCAAAGGCAGCCCAGGTCTTCTAGAAAAAACTCTGTAGCATGAAAATTTGAAGTAAAAGAAAACAAAACCTATAAAAGTCCCACTAAAAGAAGACCAAGTATTTTCTAAATCTAAAAATTTCCTTCCCATTTCTATCTTTCCCTTTTCACCAGTGAGGCAAAGATTCGTTGAAGGCCAGCTACTTATGACAGCTTCAATAATCCGGAAGAAACCCCAGATTCATGCATAACTCCCTCTACATTTTTCTCCAGCATAACTGTTCCACTGAATTCTGTCAACTGAAAATCACTGGTATACAGAGACAACTGCAGAAAGACAAAATTACACAAGTCAGTGTTTGAATAACTCCCGGTTTTCAATAAACAATTAATATTATAAAAGGAAATTCCAACAAATTAGCCAAAAGGCAGCTATTTCCAGCAGCTTCACAATTCTATTCATTCTATAGTGTTGTTCAGATGCTATCATGCAGGAATAATATATAAAAGTACGACATGAAGTCATAATAATTATCGATATGTTGTAAATTTGAATAAATATATATAGATGTCTACTTACTCTTTCCTGGCTAACATCTCTGAAACCAAGTTTATTTACCCACATAAATTTGGCTTTATCAGCAGCGGGGAGTACTAAGTTTTTCACCTCCAGAGCACAAAGCAACTTCTCTATCCGAGAGAATAATGCAAGAAAGTAACCCTGCAACAAAATCAGAAAATAAATACATAATATTACTATAATTAAATTTAAAACACCTTAACCAGCATAGTACTGATAGTCACTCTCGTACTGATAGTCACTCTCAATGCCCACTTTAAAGACTTGTCAAAAACAAGAAAATGCACGGCTCATATGATATTCCTTAATCAACCGTGATCAAATGCTTACTTTTCCTTGATATTCCTTGCTTGTGGCCACAAGGGGAAGCTCAGCCACTTCACGACCAAATATTCTAAGAAGACCAGCTGACACAACAACAGACCTGCACATATGTTAAATGTACCCAATTTAAAAAAAGAAAAAAAAAAAGAAAAACAAACAACATATATTAAGAGATCATAAAAAAAAATCAGAATATGATTGCCTGGCAGAAATTGTTTCCTAAGAAAGCTGGTTATACAATTTTCTACGGCTAAGCAAAACTATCAGAAAATCCAAAAATCCGAACCGCATCCGATCCAAAAATTATGGATATCTGATCCGAAATTGATGGATCAGGTATCCGATCCGAAAAAATCGGATATCGGATATCCAAAAATTAGATTTCGGATATCCGATATCCGAAAATATCACTTACTTTATAATATGTTGCTTCTTTATTTCTGACATGTTACAAAGATTCAAAACCCCCCAAAAGCCCAAAACCCAAACCCCTCAAAACAGATCTCATATTCCCACCGCCTCTCTCTCCCCCTCACTTCTCTCTCCTCGCTCCTCTCATACTCCTCCACCAGCTACGTATGGCAGCACCTTCCCTCCTCTTCACAGTTGCTTTACAATATCCATTAAAGGCCGCCATTACTGAGCTTAGCTGGAAAGAGGAACATATCAACAGAGAACAATTCCATCAATTCAATCGTCCGAAATTTTAGTTGGACAGAGCCTTTATGTTTTGAAGTTTCGGGATCCAATTCGATGGGTGGTTGTTGTTTGTTTTTTATTGGTTTTTTGATTTCTAATTGTATTTTGATGTGTTTTTTTTTTTTTTTTTTTTTTGTTAAATTGTACATTATCCTTTAGATCTGTTTTAGCTAAGATCTAGTTTTTCATTTTAGCTTTTAGGGATATATCGATGAAATTATTAGTAGCCTTTTTTTTTTTTTTGTGATATTTAAATTGTAAATTTGGTACTTCGTATGTTTTGATCTAGTTTTCATAAAGGTTCAATTATCTTTTTTTTTTCGATGGGTTTTTTTAATAAAAAATTGAAAGCAATTATCATTCTTTGATGCAGTTTCTAAAAAATCAAAAATTTATAAATAAAATCAAAATTTTCTACAGTTTTATTTAAAAATCTTCGTCAGATCGGATATCGGATGTCAAATATCCTAATTTTCGGATATGGATATCCGATCCGCAATCCAATTTCGGATCTGATATCCGATCCGTGCTCACCCCTATAATTTTCCTCTGTTTAGTATGCAAAGGAGTAAAGAGGTGAACTACTATTATCCTTTCATAAATACAATTGCCAATATTCCTCTATCCCTTACTTTCCTACTCATCACTTCCATTTGCACCATTAACTCGCCCTTGCCAACGCATATTATCATTTTTATTAGTAAAAACAAAAAAACAAAAAAAATTATTTTTCGAAAAAATCAGTTGACACTATTCCAACAACGTATAACATCAAAAAAAAATGTGGTAGATTACAATAAGAAAAACAAACTTTCTAAAATGTGTGTGTAGAGAGAGGGAGAATTAGATTATAACAAAAAAACTTACTTAACCATCAAAAGTACACAATACATTCCTCCAAATTCCTGGCCAGAAATATTTCTCCTGGTAATACAAAAAAAGGATGAATAAAAATCAGCTAACAGGCTGTGCAAAATGATAAGAAAATAAATTTGAGACCTCTATAATAATAATAATAATAATAATAAAAAGAATTATCACCATCTCATACTTTATTGCATAAATCAGATCCACGAAATGGAGACAGAGATACAGAAAGATTGTATGTTTTATTGTGAAGTACGAGTAATTCATAAGACATCAATGGGAAAATATTGCACATAAATTGTCAAGGCTCTAATCAAGTCAAATTATTTTGTGTTAAATAAACTTGTTTGTGCATGAATAATTGCCTAAAAACTTAAGTTTGACTGAAATTATTTGTACTCCCTCCGTTCTTTTTTGTTCTATTCACTTTCAATTTTAGTTTGTTCTTTTTTGTTCTACTCCTTTTGCTTTGTTCTATTTTAGGTATACCCCTTTTACTATCTTAGCCCCTTTATTCCGCAGTAATTCACACTTCCACACACACACTCTCTTACTGCATTCAGGCCATTCACCTTTTGACATTCTCTATCTTATTTTATCTTACACCCACTCAACTTGTTCGATATTTCCTTAGATTGCGTACCTATAGTACCAAAGTAGACTGTAAAAAAACTGAGTACAAAAATGTTAGAGATAAGCCCACTTAAGTCAAACATACAAGCCTATAAACACCCCCCCCCCTTTCCTCCAAGCTCCAACAACAGACACAAACACACACCCCAAAAAAAAAAAACCCCCCTAGTTTATTGCCTTCAGCTTACTTCTATATTTAATATTTACACCTTATGCATTACCCATTTGGTACTCTACCCAAACCTTCTGAACACACAGGTACATGCACCTCCATTGTAGAGAGCCATGGAAACTGGGAAGGCATTTCTTGAGCTAATATACAAGATGACTGAACACTGTAGTGCTGCTTCATACAATATTTATGAAACAATCAATCACATCAACATTAAAGTTAATGGAATAAAAGCAGAATAAAGGTGATTTACATGTTCACATAGCCCCTAACAGAAGGTTTTACAGGAAAGTATGTAATGAACGCACTTTTATGCAGCATTATTCTTATTGGTCAAACTTAATCCATGTTAGCAAAAAATTAAATTGTGAAAACAGTTTCTAGCCCCCAGAGTAGAAAAGCTGGAAAGAACAAAAAAATCATAACCTAGTATCAAATATATGCTAGTCTCCCTCCACAATCAACCCAACAACATTATCATCAGTAGTTATGAGTGGCAAGCCCTAAACGTAGGACACAAGTTGGTGACTCATAACCCTCAGAAAAGTGCTAGCAGCCAATGATGCGATCAATCACGGAAATAGAAGCAAGTAAAAACATTAAGATGGAGTCACAGATACTGCCAGAACTCCAGTCATCCAAAAGCATATAAATCCATTTAATGAACTTACCCATGAACCATTACAGGAATTAGATCACGCCCAGTCTTTGCAGTTATAGGACTGAAGCACTCCTGTATAGAAAAGAAAAATATAACAATGCAATTCAAAAATTAATCAGCATAATTGCAGCAGTATGAGAGCAACAAGTTTCAATAATTTTTTTCAAAATTACAACAGTTACAACAGAAAACCTTTTAGAGCTGGAGCAGATATTCACGATCACGATGAAAAAGGATTAAAGGACACGCACTTTTCACAAGCAAGTGCACACAGGAAGCACAAGACATTCATATGTAAATGGGCATATGCACTTGCAAAGTGTGATGCAAATCAATCGTCCACATGTCCAAAAAAGAATGATGTAAAAACAAAAACATAATCATATTAAGTAACTTCACGTAAATATCAGAATGAGAAAGAAATACATCCATTCCTCTTATCAATAATGGCAAAATCTTCAACCACACAGAATAACAAAAACAGCAAAAGAAATTAAGATGCAGATAGATCCTCACTCGAAATATAGAAACAGCCGTAGAAAGCGAAGGCAGATGTTCAGGACGGCGACATTTCCCACTCAATATGCGCCATTGAATATCATTATTAGCGACCTCACTCAATCCTTTCTCCAAAAGCTTCCTATTGATTTTGATCAACTCTAAAGATGGAATCAAGCCTGACCCTCTTACAACAAGATCCCTTAAAGCAGCGTAAATCTTATCACAATCATTGCAGCAGAACCATTTGTCCTTAGGAAGTTCCTGCAGTAAATTGTGATAGAGAGTAAGAGGAAGTCTATTAATATTCATAGGATCGTAACAATGCAGTCACTTACTTTCAGATCACAACGCCCATCACCCCTCAAGCAACCAACATGATATTCCTTTTCACACTGATTAGACACAAGTAAAACAATACTTATGAGGATCTGGACTTGAAGAAGGAGAGAAACTGGAAAAGAGAATGACGTACTATGTAAAATCACATAGATAAAAGTAGAAAAACATACTTGGTCACAAATTATAACAGTTCTATCATCAAAGTTGTCAACACTGAAATCATCTGCCCTGGACACAATAGAGACAAAAGATCCATCAGCATCAATAACTTTGCAACAAATACGGTCAAATGAAGCATTCAATATGTAACAATCGTTATTTGTATTAAAAGAATCTGAAATTAATTGTAATGTGTGGATGACAGCTTTAGTCCAATATGCTGACTTCTTCTCATATTCAAAGTTAAAGAACACTTGAGGTCATCTTAACCATGTATCATAACTGGCTTTAAAAGTTTAAATCACAACTCTCAAACCCTCCAACCTTTCAATCAATTCACTCACTCTTGAAAATTTAGAATAAATATGTCTCTCTGAAGCAGATTAACACCAAATAAAAATAACTTCACTAAACTTCCAGTTCTAAATTCAAGATTTTATTTGTTTTTAAATTGGGGATATTTATCATGCAATAGAAACAACGTAACCTAGTTCAGAGAAATATCAATGAAATTTGCAAAAAAATTACTTAAAAAAAATAATCAATATGATCTAATTATGTATAAAAGAGAATCTTGTGTGAAGACTTTATAAAAGTAAAATGCACAGTTATGAGTAGCCATAGGATAAGTTAGAATGGTTGCAAATTGTAAACAGCATATAATAATATTAGTGTTAATGCATACAAAAAGTGCGCTAGGATTATTAGTACTAGAAATGGAGCTGGCATTTTTCCATGGTAACTATAGATCCTACAAAGATCTTATTCATGAACTCAGGAACAATACAGTTGGAACACACCAAATGAAATAACACACCCAACATGCAGTATTAAGAAAACTATATTAATACACCCAAAACCCACAAGTGGGTTTTCTGATTAGTGAGTAGTTACAACCGAGTCGATAGTCAGCTAAAATATATACAAAGCATACTGAATACCTTCATGGCAGTCTCTAAAATGATAATAAGACTGATAGCATTTACTTCCTCCGTTCCTTTAATATTGCAACGCACCCATTTTAACACCCATATATACCCTTGTTATTTTGCCTTTCTCTCTTCCTCCTCCCACTACCTGAAATCTAATGCATTCCAACACCCTCCCCCCCTCCCCCAACGTGTCGCAATATTAGAAGGAAGATGTATATAATTTTGCATGCCCTCTTTAGACAAGAGCACGCAATGTAATCAAACTTACAAGAACAATATCCGGAATTGAATAATATATATGTAGTTTTGCAAAGAGAAGTTATAGCATAAATACAAAGGAAGAAGGGGCAGAGGCAAGGGCAACATATCACCTACAGTCACCAACCTGCAGAGAATACAACCGCCACTAAGAGTTTCAGAGTTCTTTACAACACGCGTCAACCTGATGATAATTGGCTTAGTACTACTTGAAGAGGCTACATCAGCTTTTCTATCATTACAATCAGGGCAGCGCCAATCATCTGTAGGGGCACTCTGCAAATGCAGACAGGCTGAAAACAAAATAAAACAACGAAACATTATTTCAATGTGATATTCCAAATTTCAAGCGTTCTTGAATATTTACAGAGAAAATGTGGGAAGAAAAAAGGCATATATTATATGTAAATTCAGGTGGTCTTGGACTCTTGGACCACGTCTCCCACAAGGCATACAGTAATAGCTTTCCACCACCACCACTATACATTAAAATAAACTAGTTTGTAGTAAATAATTACATAACTAATAAACAAACTGCATTCTATTATCCAATGCTTAATTAACAAGTTCATTGTAAACCACAATCTACTTAAAAGACTAGGATGAATCAAAAGCAAGAAGGGCAATTCTATGCCCTGTGAACTCAGGTAAATGTACCTATTCTTCTCTCTGTTTGGAAATAATATTCTTTGTCTTGTGCTTACAATATTCCTTACTTAACAAAAATCACGAATAGTGAAAGAAATAATTAGTACCCCCATCCTTTTATGTATGCACCATTTGTGTTTGCCACAATTTTTTATATTTGGGTGGGTGGGTTTAGTTTACTGAGCTAAAAGCAGTGGAGCATACATTGAGGGACATCCCAAGATAGAAAAGGGAAAACAAAAATGGATGGAGAGTGTAAACAAAATACATAGAATATTATAGATTCAACAGGCAACTTAGAGTTCATGGGTTCAAGGGTCACAACACACAAAATTCTGCATTGGTAGGGGTTACGATAAATTCATGTGCTTCTTTCCTAAATGTCTCAATAAGAAAATTCAATCGAGTGCAGCGAAATACCCCTGACCCAATGAACACTAATGCTTGGATATACAAGTAAACAATAAAATTAAAAATAAAAATAAAAACTTTTCTTATTTGCAGGAGGTTGTTTGACCAATAAATTTGATGATCTGAAATAATTTTCATCCTCAAAACAATATCTGTAAAGGAATACAAGTGGAACTAGTAGGAAAGAGAAAATAAAAGCTATTTGTAGGAAGATAATTCTATTCACAATAGCTGATCTGACATCTGGATTTTGTACTTCTCAAAATTATCAAACAAAAATAATGAACAAGTTAAGAAGGGAAAAACAATACATACAGAAAAATATAATACATATATATTCAAGATATATGTTATCTTACTTCTTAATAATTCGAACACTATTAATATGGAATATCTTTCTCTGTTACAGCTCAACAACAACAATAACACCGAAGCCTTAATCGCAATGATGGGGTTGGCTACATGAACAAAGATTTCATCACCAGTGATCATCAAACATGATCTTCTCCCTCTATTCCCTTCTCTCAAATGCTATGTGGTCCTCTACATATATACACTTCAACTCTTTTTGGTTGTAACAATTTCATTCAAGAGGTGGCAAGTATATAAATTAGATAGCTTTGTCAAATGTATTTCTTTTAATTATAATGCCTAGCCGATAAGATTTCTCTGTCCCATTTCGTCTGTAATTTTGACTAACAATTAACAAAGGGAGAGACACAGACACAGACTCACATGACTCGTTACTGCATAATGCAATCGAAAGACAGCTCGTTCAAATATAATATCCAAAAACAAACGGAATGATAAAATGAAAGAAATTAATGCTCAGAACAGTTCAGCAAGTACAATACTTCACATCAAAGATCATGAAAAGAGATTTACTTGGGTGGTAAGCTCTAGGGCAGCCGCCACAAGGAATAAGCTCTCCTCTATCTCCACATAGTGTACACATGTCATCATTGTTTCCAGTGGTCAATTTCTGTCCATTAGCTAGTGACATGGCTATGTCATGGAGAGTAAGCCCATTGGCAGTATATATGTTACGATAGCTGTAAAAGGAAAAAATTTAATAGATCATATTATCAATTGCCATCTCTTAGACCAAAAAAACGCAAATTAATGACACTCACGGTTGTCTTCTGGCTGCCCATCCTGCATGAGCTTCAAACTGCGAAGGGCTAATCTGCAATATGTAAGATAGAGAAAGTGATCATCAAGAAACCCAGAACAAAGAGGTTTAAAAAAAATTCCAGAGGTTTAAAAATTACCTCATATTCGCAATGACCGCAGACAATACCATTACCTTGCTTGTAACCATCAAGAATTTTCTGTATCGGAATAGATGTCAAATAAGAAACAACTCTCCTAATAAAAAGAAAAAAACAGGAAAACCAAGAAAAGCAATATTGAACAGAAACAAATTCAGATGAAAAAAATATTCTTCTATAGTTTACCTGTCCTTTAGCATAGTATGCCAAATAAGCACCATCTGGAAGCCCATTTGGCAGGAAGAGCAACCGGTGCAGATCATTGTCCCTGGTACATGAACCACGCAAAAATCTTTAAGAAGAGCGTAATGTCACAACAAAAAGCAGCACCAAAAATTTATAGCGTCTTTGAAAAGTTGGCACAGGGTTTAAATATCAAGTGTGGCTGTGATTGCAATAACAGTCTCAGAACCACATTCATGGGCAATGTGGATGGTTTGCAGCTACCGCGGCCTAATAACAAGGTCGCGATAAGATCAAAAACCTTTGCAATGCAATCACGATGCAGTCATAATGCAGCCATGATTAAAAAAACCTTGATGGGAAGAATCATCAATCACCTCTTCTTGACACCACCTTCAAAACTTCTCTTATGTGATCCAGTGACAAAAGAGGTAGAATCATTTGACCTGTAGACATGAAACTCAAAAGATAATTATTGCATCCAATACTAACTAGCACATGCATACCAATATCACCAATGTAAAGGGAAGGAATGAGACTTCTGAGGTCCAACCTATTCCCCATTTACATGAAACTCAAAAGATAAGTTTTGACGGTAATGCTCTTTGTTTGACTAATCTTTGATCATCATCCATACATTTATATGAGACACTGAGGAATTTATTCAGTGTAAGAGAAAACTTCTTGAAGACAAAGGAGATATCATAAAATTTCCAAAACTATCCAACAGATCTGAATGACTAAACTAAGGAAATTCAGAACCATGTGATGTAGTTCATGAAAGGTTGTGTTACATAGTTCACAAAAATTCTATTATCGTGAACCATAACAACTTGTGCACTTGTAATCCACAAACCATTCTCCATTTAATCATTAGCCTAAGATATCTTCAAAACTATGAAGATAGCATCAACCAATAGGTAGCAAAAGAATATAGTAATTATCTATCCACACCTCTCTTTTTGTTAATTCTGTTTGAAATCTATATTCCCCTCAAGATGCAGTTTTATAATATCAACTTTTGTGACATATAAATTTAATACGTAGTTGGTAAAATCTTATTCCATGTGCTTTGGAAAATGTGCAAAAAGTGAAGCAGTCTTAACAAATGATAGGGGGAGTAAAATTGACCTTACCAAGAACTTTTGAGAACTCTCAAAGTATTTCCAGATTTCAAAATGTACCAAATAACCACGTACAAGTAATAAAACCTATGAAATTACATATTTGATCGAAACAGAGTTTCACAAGTTTCTCAAATAAAATTAAAAAAATTAAAAAAAAATCCTCAAATATTGCTTAAGAGTTTTTAAAACCATTGAAAACAAACACAAGGAATTCCCGATAAACCTAACTTAATAGGAAATACCCGAAAAATTATTGGAATAATGATAAAATCCTTAAAATTTGTACTGTTCCCAAAAAATAATCCCGTGAATTTTCAAACCAGTCCTAAAATATTACAAAGTATAAACTTCTTGAAATCCTAAACATTTCATAAAAAAAAAATATAATAATAAAATAAAATAAAATAAAATAAAAAGCACTCTTGATATTCAAATATAATATATGAAAATGTTAAAAGGTGGAACTAATTTTTGTTTTTCATAATATATTAGTCACAGCACAATCAAAGTAGAAAGTTCAAACAAAGCCAATGGCCCATAACATTTTAGATTGAGATTACTTCACATGTCCGACAAAAAATAAGCCCTAACACCTCTAATTATCTGTTTTCTTCTTCAAGCAAGTGACATGGCCCTCTCCATCATGCATCTCCCTAAATGACAAGATACTTTCAAATTAATCTTATCACACATAGTTTTGGGTGTAAATTTGTTTGATTATCAATTTTTATCTTAAAAAATGTATGTTAAAGAAGATAATGGGGGTGATTTTATATTAAATTTAATGTGAACTATGCCTTTTTGGTAGCGGTTAGAAAGATGTGTTTAGATGATTGTAGAACCTTTTACAAAATAGAAGCGTAAAATCTAAGACATCAAATCAGTAAAGTGATATTTATTGTAAGGAACAAAATGGAAATTGAAAAAGTACAAGGCAATTAAGTGACACTAAACCATATACATCTGCCCAAAAAAAAAACCTTTGTACTTAGATGGAATTCTTACAATATCGGAGACTAGCTACGTTGACCTTATGTGAGATCGCTCAACCAAATAAGAATGTGGAGAAATAATTAGCGAGTTACCACAATGGAATTTCATCATATCAAGCTCCAAACCAGAAAATTCCATTCCTCATTAATAATCCAGAGTATAAACTATAGACACTTGTGAGGACTTAAGAGAGATAAGAGTGTAGAAAATTGGTTCTGTGAGCTTTAAAGGCAATTGCCTTCAAAATCATGTGTAATGTTGACACATAACATATTCAGACGCTAGAGAGAATGGTCGATTATCAAAAATGAACCCAAGTTACAGAAAGATTACGCAGATTATGGTAATGCTTCTTAATCAATGTTTAGAAATTTTGATGGCCAAGTAAAGACTGAAGAAGATAAGTTATCCATAATTTTTAGGCGAGTTACAAAAGAAATCAAGTATTTGCTAGAATATCCCACCTATTCTAAAAAAACATCAGTCACTTAAGTTGGCCGTTTATGAATAAAAGCACCATCTACATATATAGTAAGGTCCTACCACACTTTATACACTCCCTACATTCTATTTTGTTCTACCAACTTCCAATTTTGTCCATTCTTATTTGTTCTAAGCAATTTACTTCAATCTATTTTAGGCATAATCCATTTATCATCTTACCCCAAAATAATTACGCCTTTTCACACACTCTCTCATACTTCATTCACCTTTTTTTTTACACACCCCACCACCACTACCAGTTTACACTCTCTCTTACTTTATCCTACTTTATGTTACATTCGTTTACCTTTTTCCAAAAAAAAAAAAAAAAAAAAAAACCCTGTGTAAGTATAACATAAGAAAATCAGAGGGAGTATTACTTTTTATACTCCCACTTATACAATATAATAAAATTTCTCAAAACACACTTGCACAATTTTACATTACAAAACTACTTCCATACCCCCACTTGCCCCACTTTTTACATTAGAATACTAGTTTCATATCCCACACACAATAAATCTTCTAAAACTAGTGTAAATAAAAGTGCAGCTTTTATTTGTCATGAACTGTGTTGAATGAAAGATTACAACTTAGTAGTGCACATGAATATCTTAGGGACACATCTACAACAAACATTTGCCTTTGACAAAAAATTCCTATTACAAGTATAGAAGAACGAAATCCAACCCTTAAACCCAAAAAAGGAAGGAGATTTATATTGTTTTCTGAGGGCATTTTTGCAATAGTCCAAAATACACATATACTTCTGATGCTTAGAAAAGAAGAAAATTCATTGTTTCACTACATACAGTCTGTCATTAATAAGTCACAACCGACTTCAAGACAGTTGGGCAGAGTAGAATTTCCATATAAAATATTACAATTTCATTTAAATCTGAATAAATACCTCATAGAGCAATAAGCGAATCATATTTGGACAAAAAGTCAAAACAAACCAAGAAAAAGACTTAAATAACCAAGACATTAACAGCAGAGCATAGTGCAAACGTTTTATCTTTATTGAACAGAAAACAAGATAAACTAGTTTATAATCAATATTCCCTCCGTCTCTATATAATCTCCACACTTTCCTTTTACGTCCGTCTTTATGTAACATGTTAATGACATGGAATTCCCTTTATGACATGGACCCATTGCTCACTACCTAAAGTTAGGTTCAACACCTTCTCTCCATTCAAATAAAAAAACTCATATACCATCTATCATCGTATCCGCTATCCCATAAAAAAAATAAAGAAAAGAAAAATCAACAGCCTATCACATAAAACTTTGTGCAAAGCATGGTGTGACAATTAAATTGAGATGGAGTACTAAAGTATAGCAATGTGTGCCTTAGATCATCTATATCTTATTTATGTAGTACTAAAAACTTACTATACACATTATCTCCTTGAACGTTATCTTGCCAGCGAAGCATATGAAGACATTTAAAATCAAGACAATCAAAATCACTGACTGAAAACCAATAATGGCTTAAACAAATGTCTGGACTCTGGATTAAAACCAACTAAAACGAAGGCTGTAAAGGCCAAAGTGATTAAAAAGAATAAAATGAGGGAAGTGAACATTTTTTTTTTTTTTTGGAGTGGAGTGGAGCAATCGACAATAAGGCATAACATTTTTTTTTTGGAAAAGACAAGTGAGAAGCACATAAGATGAGTTCCAAACATTACATAACGACAATACCAGATTTGTTTCCATTTGAGGCTAAAAAGAAATTTAAGCTATGTTACATGGACTCGGGAATGGGTGTCGGACACAGACACTTGAAAGTGTCCGATCCGGCAGGTTCCAAAATATTAGGACACGGGGACTCTGTTCGATATTTGGACACGGGTACAGGGACATGTCAACACATCACTTAAATTTATATAAATAAATTACATATTACAAAAGCATTAAATTTTTCATTATGTCTAGTGCTGTTTTTTTTATTATAATTCTTTCCTCGGTAAATTCTCCTAATAAATGGCAATCTTCTTCTCTCCATCTTCTGTATATTAATGGTGGTTTTCGAACAAGATATATTTTTCTTTCATGTTTCTTCTCTTTTTTTCCTCTCCTCTCTTAATAGAAGTGTCCGCGTGCATAATGAAGGATCGGACACGTGTCCCGTGTCCGTGAAGTCACTTCGCTATACTAGCCGTGTCCGATTAACATAGAATTTAAGTACATGGAGATAGAATTTATTTAGGAGATTTCTCAACTCTACTAGTTATATCTATTTGTTCCGATTTCTCTTTTCTAGATAACTAAGGACATCTCACAACTCCAAATAGATCTAAGAACAGTTGACAAATACCATTATATCTAGCAATAACACATAGGTCAATGTATACATAACAATTCATATAAAATTCTGCGACGTATATTTATGTCCAAAAGGTTAAATAAGATATGATTGATAATTTTAATTCTTTCGAAGCATTTCAAGATTGATACAGAGAAGCCATCCGAGTCTTGATTTCAGGTGGCTTAACTCATATTTAAAGAGAACAAGAGGGGTGCACCTTTCCCTCTTTCTTTTCTCTTTCGAAGCGGAAGCTTTTAGAAAATTATTCTTATGTCTATCCCAAATTATCATGTTAAAAAGAAATTTAGCTATAACTTTAATATAATTACTATAAGGCCATAATAGTTGGATCACAAGCATTGTTGTATACTTGTAGTTGGCTTTATGTAAACCCTACTTTATAAAGAAATCAACATTTACGTTTTTTAAAAATTCCTTAATCCTTAATATTTAGATTAAACCATCACGAGTCAAGGATTATTATGGAGGAGGTTTCCAAAGGAAAATACCTTACTCTTAGACGACCAAGCAAGCTCAATGAAAATCCTAAACATTATTAATCATCTAGAACCATCAATCTGAATTCCAGGTAAAGCAAATTGCATGAGTGAACAGAATTTACAAACAAATAAAACAAAAACAAAAAAGCAGAAAGTTGCTCTTACCTTGGATGTGACAGAGGAAAGCTTGCAGATTTTTTATACTTCCTTTCTGTCGAAACCAACTGATTGCACGGTTGTAGATTTACTGAAGCATACATACAGAAGGTTGTAAAATAATTGTACACAAAGTGCCAAGGACACATCAAGATAACAGCAAATTATTAATCCTTCAGCAATTCCAGTAAGACATAAATTAAATGGTTAAAAACTCACCTTTCCAAGCTTGATTGACAGATGAACCAGCCATATCAGTCACCACTTCCTCAAGCATCCCAAGTGGGGCAGTCTTCAACTCTTCAATAATGCTGTAAATTGGCCTCCCATTCTCCAAAAAAATGTGATTGTTTGGATGCCTAGTTTTCGCCCCTCCAGCATGCTGCTCGAATTCATATGCACTAAGGACCTGCTCATAATTTGAAAGTACAGTAAGATTATATCTGTAGTGAATCTCAAAAAAAAAAAAAAAAAAAAAAAAAAAAAAAAAAAAAAAAAGAAGACAAACCATATAGTGCAAGTAGCTCACATTGGTAAAGTTGCACACTGAACAACCACATAGGTATCCACAACCTCGGATTTCCCCAAGTATCTCCTTCTAGAAAGTAGAAACCATATAAGGCAAGTTAGATCCACATGAAAAAAGAAATGTCAACTGAATACTACATAAAATTTATTGAACACGTCGGAGTCATAAATACCGCCCCAGAGGTGGAAATATACTTCACTCTTGCTCCTTCCAATATACCAGTGGACAGCAGCTTTTTTACATTTGTGGGGTAGCTATCAGGGATAACCTTCTTCGACATCTTCAACTCCATATTATATGGAAAGCGATAAGTTGAATCATCCAATCCAACCTCGTCATTTGAATCAATAATTGAATCTCCATCATGGAGTCCATTAGACAAAACCCGAGGTGTCAAGGGAAGTAATTTGTTTTCATGTTCCTTTTTACTCATACTAAACTTCAGAGTAATCTTTCGAATCCCGGTAGTGCTAGCATGCTCAGGAATTTCCAGAGTAACTTGAGAACTAGAGACTCCGGTGCAACCACGAACTCTAGTCACCTCATCACTACAGCTCACTGCGCAAGAGTTCCCCGAATTCTCGGATGTTATTTCATCAGGATTAACTATATTATTATTATTTCTACTGCCACCTAATTCAACAGGAAGACTGCAAGTAGTAGTCTCCAAACTAGATACATTCTCAATCTCATTTCCATCATCAATTTCGAATTTCGACGAAACAATTGGCCGAATTGGGTCCAAGACTTCCGATGTTATATCATCACAATTCGTATTTAATGCTTCTTCTTTAGCATGTTTCTTTCTAGGTAAAGCTCCTAACTCAGCTTCATTAACAACACAACCCAGTTCCCTCTTCAATTCATTTCCGACTTTCTTCGGGTTTTCGGCATTGTAACAGGGTAATGCTAGCAATACACAAATTTCCCTTTCTCCCATATTGTTCTACTATGATGTGACCAACAATTGCAACACCTATCTGTATAAGAAAATTCCCAATTCAATAACAACACCATCCAAGTTGAAATTCCAATATCAATGCAAGAACGAAACCATTCCAAGAAAACTTGTATAACAATCTCCCGTCGAACAATCCTAAATTAATTAATCAAAACGAATTGTAAATTCAAAACAACCTACAAGATGGAAAGAAAATACGAAATTGAATGAAAAATTAAAATTGAATTCGATTCAAAGATTGAAATTAAATTGAAAATTTACCTTTTCAGATGTTGTAGATTTAAATCTGCATGATAAAACTGTTACTAATTTTTGAATTTAGTAACAGATCTTTCGGAGATTCAGTTATGAAAAATTCAAAATTCCCACAAACGAAATAAAAAACAAAATCGACCTGAGATTTTTAATTTCCAGAAAAAGGGGGAAAAAGAGAGAGAGAAAAATTTAGGGTTTTAGGATTTGATTTGAAGAAGAAGGTAAGTTTGAGCGGCAAACGAAAAAGCTGATTTCGCGGTCGAGAATTTTGAGGAAGAAAGAAGTGAAGAAATTTTCAGTAAAATATAAAATGAAAATGACAAATAAAAAATAAAAAATATATTAAAAAAATAAAAAGATAAAATGAAAGAAGAAAGTAATATTTTATTTGTTGAGGAAAAAAGTGTGGAAATGTAACGGCGAGACAGATGGAAGGTACGAGAAGAAGAGCATGATCAAGTGTGAAATGAAATGATGATTTTGTGTAGGCTAAGGCTTAAGAATAACTGCTATTTGTGGGATTAGGGTAGGGCCCAGCATATGTACACGTGGGATTCATAGATTGATTTTTGGTTTCAAGGACACCTAAGATTTTGGTGTAATTCTCTATTTTTGGATAGACTAGAATGAGGGTTGGCAATTTTGTGACCCGACTCAATAACCCAACTAGAATTTATTGGGAGAAAACGGAAGTCAATTCGACTCCTCGAACTTGAACAATTTGAATTTAATCTGATTTGACCCAAATATCATATTTTGTAATCTAATATTCTCTCCAACTCAAAATATAGTTCTCATTTCTCATTTTATACGGTCTTAAATGATCTTCTCATTTTTATTATTATTTTTTTTTACCATTTATTGATTCTTTGAAATTATCCGGTTGCCCTTTTTTTTGTCTTTATTAGGTGAAGTACCAAAGGACCCTCTAATGTTGCTTATTCTCCGTGCATCATTGACTTACGCATATCAATTTGGCTTTCTCATTAGTACCCTTTTGCTCTCTTCTTTTTTGCAAAATAGGTTAGTTCCCGTGCTATGTATGGTTATTTTTATTACTCCATTTTTATTTTTTATTTTTTATTTTTTTGATAAGTTAATTTATTTATAGCATAAAATATAAAATTTGTTTGATTTTGAACAAAATTGAAGTAACATGAAATATTTTGTTAAATTTATTTAATACTAGGTTAGGTCCCGTGCCATGCACAGTAATTTTTAATATTTATCATTAGTTTAATATTCTATGTTTCAAATGTATAAGAGGATCTACATTATCATAATAGGGAAAGGTAAGATTATATTTATTCTACAAAGATACGCAAAATAGGTTAATAAAAAATACGCAAAAAAATTATTTCCTAAAAACCATAGAAAAAGTAAAACATTAAATTATAATTGAGTATAATTTTGCTGGAAAAATAATAATTCTTTTTTAAAAAAAATAAATAAATAAAAATAAATAACCTTGAATAAATAGTTGAAGGAAATAACCTTTGAAATCAACGCATAGATACGTGCAATATAGCCATATAGGGGTAGTAATTAGTAAATTGATAACATAGGCTTTGAACAATAAAATGTTTTTTAGATTCAAAAAAAATGTGAAAATTAAAATATTTTGATTCTTGCCAAACTTATCATATAATAGCATAACAATATATAGTTTTCAATCATTAACATTTTTGTCTATCTCAATTGTCATAATTCATGAAGCTAGTATTCTTTTTCCCATGTATAAACTTACAATATAAGGTGTGAAAAGAAAAAATAAAAAAATCGTACTCTTAAATTTCTACTACATAAGAATATCAGTTTATGTAGATTGCTCTACGGTTTACTAAAATGAAGAAAAGAATATTTACATATTATATAAGGCGTACTTTTGAAAAAAATAAATAAGAAGAGTGTAGTTCATTTTTGTAGTTGAATTATATTTTTCATAATCTATCAATTTATATAGTATAGAGATGTCTAGTCTAGAAAAAATATAATCGAAACTTAAAAAATGTAGTATAATAAGCAAGAAGCTAACCAAATAATGCAATCTTCTATCCTAAACGCTAATAGACACACGCAATCACATTGCGTGTGCATTATTATAAATTAGCCAAAAGGGTTTTGATTAAAGGGCCATTATAAACTAGTTGTAACTAAATTAAAAAGAACAAGGGAAATTCTACATAGTAACCTCGTTTTTTTCACTTTTCTGTGACCTAACATATATGACTTTCTACGCTGTAACCCTAAATTACGAAAAGTCATTATATGGTGACCTCGCCGTTAAACTGCCGTTAGTTGCTTCCGTTAACTTTAATTAGAGTGCGTACAGGTAGTCTGTTTTTAGTTTTTGGGGGGAATATTTCCCTCCAAAAAAGCAACTGCCCCACTCATTTCTTCTTCTTCCTCCTTTTATAAATCCCCTGATTTTTTTTTTCCTTTTTTCTAGGGCTTCATTGTAGGTAACTACAGTTTCAATCGAAGCAAGAAGCCATGTCTAGTTCTCGCTGCTCGTTCCCCTCCAATTCATCATGTTTCTTGCAATTCTTGAGCCCACAATGTTTTTGCAACCCTCCAAAACTAGTGAAGGTGAAGATTTCAACAACAACTCGCAACCCTAGGAAAGCGTTCTTTGAGTGCAACGATTGCGACTTTTTCAAGTGGATGGATGAAGGTGATGTGCATGGTCTTGAAGCATTGAGGGCTGATGAAACCGAAATTGCATCTCTGAAGGAGAAAATAATAGAGCTGATTAGCTACATTAGAGAAGTAGTTAAAATTGGTGTTTTTATGTATGTTGTGTTACTCATAATTGTGCTGTTAAAAAGTGTGGGGTGAAGTGATTGTAATTGAAAGATTACTGTTACTTTTATGTGTTAATGAAGTGGGTGGAAAAACCCTTTTTTTTTAGTTCACAGAAATTTCAATTTGTTTCAGTTGTTATAGTAATAATATAATGAATTCCACAATACAACAAGCATAAACAGGCAACATATATAATACTAACAGCCCAATATATACATAATGTTAAAAGTTTGACAGCCAACATCTAACATCAGTTTTTAACACCCAAAAAATCATCCACCATTTCCTACCATAAGTTTCACAGCCCAAAACATAATCACATCTTATATGAGGCTTAAAATACAAACTTCAACCAAGTTTGTTCCCAAAAGAAGCTTGAAAATATAAACAGTAGTTAAAATGTGTCCCAAAAAAAGCCATTGTCATGCTCAAATCATCCTTGACCTGTTGGAACAGAGGGGCTCATAGCATGGCAAGTTTATTCATTATCTTTTGCCTTTTATAAGTTGTAGTTGGAGTAGGCTAAGAGAAAGGCCCTTCAGTAGTAGGAGGCTCTCTGTTTCTGTTCCTAGAAGGCAGCACAGGTTGGCTTGAGCACTCTGCATTTGACTGAGTTGAGCTGTTACCAATCATCTGCTCAATCAAGTTGAAATCCATCTCACTCTGGCTGATTTGCTGCCTTGTTCTCTTGCCCTTTGTTGCAGTGGTGGGTGCCTTACCTTGATGCTCTAGAATATCCTTCTTAGTCAAACCACCCTTGCAAGTAGCAGCATTATGCCCATGTTGTTTGCATTTCTTGCACTGAATAGTAGCAGACCTCTTCCCATTTCTCTTCTCTCCTTCTTCTGTTCTCCTATTTCTGGAAGGTTTGCCAACACTTCTTTTCATTGGAGGTGGGACTAGTTTGGGAACATCCATGTCAGACCATGCTCAGGGGATGGGATGGGAAATATATTCCCATTGTATGTCAACTTATACCTAGCCATAGAGTACCATTCCCTCACAAAATCATTTAGATTTTTCCCAGTATCAAGTATGGCCCTAATTCCATGCCTACATGGAATGCCACTTACTTGCCACTGATAAGCCTTCTTATCATGGGTTGAGAGAAGCATTTTAGGGTGTGTTTTGATGCTTTATATGTACTTTTGTTAGCTTTTGTGAGTTTTGGGCTGTGATCTCACTTATGTGCAAAAGGCGGGATTTATGAGTATAAGTGAGTGAGTGAGCTCAGGAACCAATGAAGAGTTATGTAAGAAGGATGGACCTTGGCTCGTGATTTGAGAGTTGTGATGGAGCATGGAAGAGCAAGGAAGAAAGCTTGAGGAAAAGGTGAAGCAAAGCAAGAAGAAGAAGCAAGGAAAGAAGGCGAAAACAGCAGGAACCGCTGCCAGGGCCGCTGGCAGCTGGCCAGAGCCGCTGGCAGCGGGTATACCAGAGTGAGGGGCTGCCAGAGCAGCTGCCAGCGGGTCCAGAGCAGCTGGCAGCGGCTCTGGCAGAAATTCGGGCTGTTTTGGTTAATTTTCAGCAATTTGGCTTTGTTTTGGCTCGTGTTTTGGATATTATTTTATTATTATTATTGTGTTATGTTATTAAAATATAGAAACATATAAATAGCTTAGTTTTAATTAAGTTTGAAGGAAGAGAAAAAGAGAATTAAGTTTTGAGAAAAAAGCTTTCTAGGGTTTTCTTGGAATTTTCAGAATTCTTTGTTTTGGAATTAGAATCCATGGAAGCTTAATCTTCCGGATTCTTGGTTAAAGATTGAAGCTTTTAGCTACGAATTGTGAGATCTTTCTTCTCTTAATATCTATTGAATATATATTGTTCCTTGAATTAATTTCATGATTTGCTTTAATCAATTGCTAGGTTAGAATTATTGGATTCGCTTGCATCTAATTAATCTTTCCAAAGTAGCAACTTTAGGTTATTGATGCATGCTTTTGGTTGATAACTTGAAGAGGGAATAATATTATTGAAGAAATTAGACCGCTTGTGTTAATTTATTCAATCCTTGTTGATTTTTCCGTTTATTTTCTTCTTGTGGATAATTTAGAGCGCTTGTCTTGAATTGTGCATTGGAAAGGGTTAGAAAGGAGCGCTTTGCTATTTCTAACTATTTATGAGAATTTAGAATCTAGGAATTCTACAACAAGGTGTTCAATAGAGCTTGATTGAGGAGACTTCTATGATCAATTTGTATGTTCATTAGTGGATTTCGCATAACCAAGACCGTTCTTCTCATTGATTACCTATTCATTACGTTCGTTGTTCTTACTTAGTTCATTTATCATCATTGCTCGTGAAAACCCCCCTCGTTACTTAGGTTACTATCGTCCTAGAGTATTTCCACTTAGGTTTCCAGTTATTAGTCCCTTTTTCCCTGTGGATTCGAACTCGACTTCCCTAACTACGTTTATTTGCAGTTAGCTTAGTTGTGATATTTTTGGTTGCATACGACTGAGGCACACCAAATTTTGGCTACCAGCGGCTCCTACAGCTCTCCCCGATTTTTTTTCCCCTTATTTCCCCTTTTCCAACTCCAACTTCATTATTTCTTCCCTCAACCCCAATTCACATAAACCCTTACTCCTTTTCTTCTCCTTCTCTCTACTCATTCATTCCCCTACTCCAATTATATCAAATTCGAATTTCTCTTTCCCAAATCTTCATCTTTCATCAAATTCTCAATTCCCATCACAATTTCACCTAAGGTTTACCATTTTTCTTGATTTCAATTGTGAAATTGAGTTGGTTGTGTGGAATTGCAAGCTTAATTTATTTTCATTGAAGGTGAAGGTGAAGGTGCAAGTGAACATATTCCTTTTTATAGCCATGGGTAGAGACAACAAGAGGTCTAAAGAATCATCTCCATCAAGACCCTCAAGGGGCAAGAGGCAAGGGGCTTCTTCAAGTCAAGGGGAGGCACCTCCATTGCCTCAAGGGGATGGTT